TTCCAGTCTGAGTAGTGACCAGGTGGTATCTCTGCTTGCTGTTACCAAGACAAAAAGGATAAAGGCTCAGGCTAAAATCACATCCATGGACTGTACCTGAACTCCAGGTATATTCAACAGAGATGAAAGAGTATGTCTGTTCACCAGGCACCTGTGTGCAGGCTGGGGGCAAGCTTCCAGAGGATGCATCTGGGCACCAGATCAACACAGTGGGTCAAGGAAGCCAGGCATCCCGTCTCAGCCTAGCACAGAGGCCAGCAATGTCTCTGCAGAACTCACCTCAGCAGACCTCCCTTGCCAGGGCACAGGGGCCAGTAGACGGAGCCAAGTCCATCCCTTGCAACCAAGCTAACGTCCCTGAATTCTCTGAGCGTGCCTCTTTTTCTCATTATTTCAACTCCGGGAAATAGCCCTACCTAACACTGGCAAGCTTCAGAGGCAGCAGCTAATATTTTTTAAAGATGTGTAGAACTGTTTTTAAAGTAAAAACTTAAGCCTGCAGCATTAGGCATTTATTTTTCAAACTTCTCACTTTTTGTACATTAGATCACAGGGTCTAAAATAAGATGCCAATAAGTAACTTAAGGTCATAGCTGTTCAGGAAGCATTATGGTTCTTATACAGCATGTTTACCAAAAGCACAACCCTCTTTGCCAACAGTATTATACATTAACCAAGGAACAAAAAAGAGGAGGAAAGCCAAGCATGGTAGCACATGCCTGGAATCTCAGCACTGAGGAGGCGGAGGCAGGAGGATCACTGTGAATTCGAGGCCACCGTAGCCTACATAGCAGGACCCTATCTCAAAAAAAGAAAGAAAAATATAAGTTATAAGTTTTGTCAAAACAACCACTAACCACGTGGTCTGAACTGGCTGTCTACTGCCATCCTTACCCTCCATCACAAACAAAGAAAGAAAGGCTTCCACAGAATGCTCAGCCAAATCCATGGGCTGGAACAAGGAGGCGCCTACTAATCTAAACTGGGCTCGTTTCACTGTGCTTGCCCTGTACCAGGCCATACATACAAGAGGTCTTTCACCTTCTGCTGCCAACGACTCTACACTTTCCCTCTGATTTAGAGCTTCAAAGCCATTTCTGTGAAATAAGAATACAAATAAAGAAGGCTCATTACTTAAAGGCCGTTCTGCTCAGATGACCTATGTCCAGCTCTTCGGTAGCAAAGGGTTTTATCAGATTCCAGTATGCCACACGGTACTTGATAAAGCTAAGAGCTTCATTCAATCTGCACCGACAGTCTCCCCACTGCAGGAGACTTATTGGAGGGCAAGGAGCTGGATTTGAGAGAAAGCTGCCTGGGCTAAGTCCCAGATCTGCCACTTATTAGTCATAGGACTTTGTATAAATCATAAACCAAACTGAGTCTCAGTTTCCTTTTCTGTAAAATGGACGTGATGATAATGATCATGACAGTACCCACTTCAAAGAGCTGTTTTTTTAACACAAAATAAATGAGCCAGCAGACAGCAAGCCCTTGATAAATGTCAGCCTGCATCCCTGGCACTGTCCTGTTCAAAGCTAATGAGACCTCAGCCTGTTGGATACCACAATACGACTTCTAAGACTGAACAGTCTACGCCTTTGACCTCAGAAGAGGGGAGGAGAGAGTCCACACCTCATAATGAAATCCACAAAGCTTCTTCTGATATTTAAGGTCCTCTACAGTCTATTCCTACCCTGCCTTCTAAGAAGTCTGGCTCCATTTCCACACCCCTCTCCAGGTCATCTAGTCATTTAAAAAAAAAAAAAAAGTCTATCATCTAAGCACCACATAGCACACCAGGCATAGTCCTCCCATCTGGCCAGTCCAATGTCGTTCTAGTCCCAGATTCTGCCCAGCTGTCAGGACAGAGGTCAAGATAAGAGCACCCTCAAAGCCTTCTCTGGTCACCCTACTGCTTATGAGCTTCCACTACTGAACTCCTCCCAGATCTTCTTTTTCTTTTGCTACATGACTATATTCTATAAACCTAAGTAAAGTGTAATTAACTCAAAAGAAAGGGAAAAATCTCACATCGCTTTGTATATCCCTAAGTGACTAGTACTGGGCTTGTGCTTAAGTAGAGACTCGGTGAATAAGTGATTTATATCGCAAGAGGGCTTGATGGCTCAAAGCAAATACAGGACCATTCTTTCAAAACAGCCTTAAGATCAATAATATCTCATAGCATAGAGTTTAAAGGCTTAATCTCCAGTCCTAGGCTAAGTAGATTTATGGTTAAATCTTTCATTAATTGGCTTTGTGACCTCAAGAAAGTTACTTAATCTGGGTGCTTCAGTTTCTTCATCTATGAACTAAGAATAATCAAAGTACCTACACTTCTTAGGGTAATTACAAGGATGAAGTAAGATAAGACACATGAAGTACTTTGGATGGAGCCAGGCACACAGTAAGTACCTGTAAATATTCAATATTATCATTACTATTAATTATTATTACTACCTTCTTTAAGTTCAATTCATCCAAATGTCCTGAAAAGCATTTGGTAAAGTACACCGAGCCTAGATAGAGAGGTACTGGGTATCAGCACATAAGAGACATTCCCCCCTTCTTCATTCATTTGGCCCATTAGCTTATACAAAGTAATAACAACTTTCTACGCCTAAAATGCATCCCCACCTTTGTGCTACTTATCAGTTGCCTTGTGCTGTTGTAAAATCTGTGATTCTACAGTCCCTTTGCTTCTGTAAAGCTTTAAGTGTGTAAGCAACTCAAAAATACTTTACCAGGCTGGGGATTCAGCTCAGTGGTACAGTACTTAGCCAACATGAGCTAAGCCCCAGGTTCAAGCCCTACTACCACAAAAAAAAAAAAAAAA